GGGGGGGGGGGGGGGGGGGAAGGCTAGCCCCATTGCAAGGGTTAATTAAAAAAAACTTCCACGAAGTTCCCCTTCTGCTCCTTAGTGTCTAGGGAGGAAAATAAAGTTATACTCACCTGAACCTGCAAGCTGGCTTGCTCTTAGACCGGTCCTTCCAGCCTCTCTCTTCCTCCACTGCAGCAATGATATATAGTATTTGAGGTTGAATAAAGACATATGTCCATCAAGTCCAACCTATTGTGTGTATGCATTTACAGGTGTGTGTATGAGTCCATGTGTGATCTTGTTCTTAGGCTTACCTGTACCCCTGCATGTTATGCTCTCCGAGGAACGCGTCCAGGAGTTTCTTGAATGCTTCCACACTCTTAGCTGAGATCACTTCCTGCGGCTGCGAGTTCCAGACCTTAACCGCTCTGACGGTGAAGAACCCCTTACGCCCTGTGTGCCGAAAAAAAATTTCCACCAATTTTTGTTGTTGCCCTCTGGTCTTTGTTACGGACCAGAGGGCAACAACATGCCCTCTGGTCCGTAATGTCCCTCGTCATATCCCCTATAATTTGTCCATGATAGGGACCAAGCCCTATCATGTCCTATACACTGTGTATAGAATGTGATGACTCGGGGACCTTAGACCGCTGCAGTGGAGGGTGAGAGAGGCTTCAGGTACCAGTCTAAGGGCTTGTTCACACCAAGCGTGGAGCAGAGCAGTTACAGAACGCATCAAAAATGCATTCAATGTATTCCAATGTTATTTTGGGCTCTAGTTCACACCAAAGCGTTCAGTTCCAGAGCATGTGGAAAAACTGCAGCATGCCCTATTTTAGACAACCCCACCCCCCCAAAAAACGGACCATAACGCGGAAAAAAGCACTGCACTGCATATGCAGAAACTCATACAGATCTGGTCCGGATTTGGTGTGAACAAGCCCTGAGAGCCGGCCCTTTCCGAGGATCAGGTGAGTATAACTTTCTTATTTTCCTCCCAAGATCAAAACGAACACTGAACCCTTGTAGTGCGGGGGTGGGGGAGTAACACTGCAAGGTTTATTTAAAATGTTCCCTGCGGTTCTTCTTTAGGTGGAATCCCCTTTATACAGCAATTCTATGAAGTTATAAATTGTCGTAGAAGTTATTTTTAGGGAAAACTACAGAGACACTACAGAGTCTCTGAACCCAGAGACACGGGGGAGCTGAAGTCGTATGCAACTCTTGTGTGTTCATCATGCCCCGCCCCCTCCTGAGCCCCCATATCGATCCTTTATGGATGACAGGCAGCATGTCCAGCCAATAGGGAGGCCCAGGAGGAGACGAAGGGACCCAGCCCTTTTTAACAAGAGAAATCAAGGTTTACCGTATAATCTTCCATCAGCCTACAGGATCTACTGACGACTTAGAAGCAATTTTCAGTTTGTGTTTTTAGTAGGGATGCGGCGGTACAGATACTAGTATAGGTGCCGATACCGAGTATTTGGGCGAGTACTGTGCCGTGAAGGAACATGGGGCCGGCTTCCCGGCCAATCAGCATTGAGAAGGCTTCCCGGCCAATCAGGAAGCCCAGCCTCCCGGCTTCCTGATTGGCCGGGAAGTCGGCTCCATGCTGACTGACCGTGAAGCCAGCTTCCCGGCCAAACTGCATGGAGCAGGTAATGACCCACCTCCCGCCTTTCTAATTGGCTGGGAAGCAAAGAGCCGGCCAAACAGCATGGAGCCGGCTTCCCGGGCAATCAAGAAGCTGGGAGCAGGTAATGACACGCTGCCAGGCCTTCTGATTGCCCAGGAAGCCGGATCCATGCTATTGGGAGCACCGGTATCGGCAAGTACCGAAAAATAAATATCGGCACTCGTACTCTAAACTGAAAAACAGTATCAGTGCATCCCTAATTATTATCATTGTATGGTAAATATGATTTGCTCAGGTATGTGAGCGGGAGGGAGGAACCAGTGCAATGAACACGTCTCTACAGCAGTCCAGTGGCTGCGCTGTGTTTCAGCACATCTGTGCAGTATATACACATTACCCAGTGGGTTGTCTCTTTAAAAAAATACACAAGAATACCTGTTGATCCTGCCAAGAAATCCACTGAGCTCCTAAATTCCTGTTTACGACAGTAACTCTGCCTCTGCTGCATTGAAATAACAAACAGTACTGCCGCAGTCCTCTCCTGCTGGTCTACATAACACCGCCCCTCTTGATAACATAAATGTGGGGGGCGGGTGGGGGGTCTGCAGTCCACTAGGGAGAACTCAGGCAGGTGTGACAACGCTGCTTGGGATTTCAGTGTGACAGAGACACCGTGTTGATTGGCTGCTAGCTCCGTTCGGCTAATAACTTTCCAACCGGCTCCTTCAATCAGCTGATCGAGGGATGCTGGTCGGAAGGGTGCTGGCAGTGGCACCAACTGTGTTCATTTTGGCCGGTTCATCAGGAACCAGCCGAAATGTATCCCGTGTATACCTGACTTCACTTTGCACCAACCTTTCACACTCACACCTGCTCAGGGCTACAGTGCCACTGAGTAAACCCGGGCCCTACACCAGCACACAGGACAGACATTGATTCATACATTCACGGTTTCCAACAAACCCAACCAGGTCACTATTTGTAAAACAATCACTAAGTCTATCATATTGGGACTTGTAAGCTAAATGAATTTGTCTTCATTGTATAAAAACAGACAATTCTAACATTATTCTACTTATAAGGAGACCTCCGGGAATGGGGCAGACACGCTAGATCCCGGGATCGGAGCACACGGCAGAATGATGTGACTTCGGCTGGGATATCTCTGTGCTGCACATTGCTGAGCCAACACACTTCTATTGCTTGTGATCCGCTCTCCAGTCAGAGATATTTGACGCCTTCATAGACATCTATTCAGAATTTCCCAGCAACAGGCCATCTGTAGATATGAGTGCATGTAGCATACATGTGCCAGCCTGGCAACTTCAATGCTGCAGATCTCCAGGCTGCATTGGAGGTAACTGCACTGCACATCATTGTCCTCACGGTCTCAGGTGCCTGTCCTATTCCATTCCTATTTAACTAGTACCCTTTATGGTGGCTACTTGTTTCCCATCAGGGCCTGCAATGTTACTCAAAGACGTCCGCGCCTAGAATATTTATTCACCGAGTCTAAGGAGTTCATGTATACATCTTCTGCCCAGCATATCGCTGGATGAATGCCATTCACAAGGCATTACCATCATTAGGAGGCGAGGAGCATGGGAAATGAATATGCTCCCCTACGCCATCTAGTGGTGATAGTGTTGTACAGCCGGCACTCGCCCAGAAGATTTATAAATCAGACCCTTACTGTTCCAAAAATAAAAAGGTTTTGTAGTATTTTATGACAGTGTATATAGCCAAATGATCATAATAAATAAAAATAAAAGAACTGATTGGGTGACTTGTAAGATTTGGCTTAAGTTTCGGCTAATCCTCTATTTTTTGCTGCTTATCGCTATAGCCCAGGGGTCGGCAACCTCAGCACTCCAGCTGTGCTGAAACTACAATTCCTACCATGCCTCTACCTCTGGGACTCATGTCTGTGACCGCAAAGCCCTTCAATGCCTCATGGGACTTGTAGTTCCACAACAGTTAGAATGCCGTGGTTGCTTATGCCTGCTATCGAGCTAAGCAAGAGTCAAAGGGGAGATTACCTTGCATACACATAACAGTATATTTGCATAGCGGGTGAAAAGGGATTTTCTGCGGGTCCCTTTTTTCCTGCACAGCTGATCAGCAGCCCCCATACACAGCAATGTTTAGACAGGTGCATATACCGACATGGGGGGCATTGTGCTTCTCCAGCACTGACTTTAGGACCTGACACACAATGCTTAGCTTGGCCATACATGGGCTCATTTTTTTATAAGATCTGAAAACGATTCAACATGAATGGGATGATCTTCAGTGAACCAACAAGAGTGACATATTGTTCCATTACACTACGTACCTCGTATCTTACCATCTGCACCGTCAATGGAGGCAGACATCTTAGATCAATGGCTGTTCATGACTCTGCATACATACAATCAGCACCGGATTGCACGCACTGACATGTCTCCAACAACTGCCGGCAGAGATTGGTTTGCTGGACAATCATTTTTACAGACATCTGCTATTAAAAAGCTGCATTACCACCTGCAAGATAAACGGACTAAAAATGCATTGACTTGCTTCTTTGTAGATAAATGTGTTATGCTCTAAGCGTGACATCTGTTACCATGTGAAATGCACCTTTTTTTCCATTACACTTGTTCAGGTACACTGCACTTTTGTATGTGCTGCTAGTGTGACCGCGGCTTACTCTGCACCTCGTTTCACTTGTTTGTTCTTTTTCAATGACTGGTTTGCTTTGATGAGGCCGTGCCACCCTGCTTCGTAGATATTATGTTATACAGAAGGGATCACCTAGCTGATACCTAGTACTGTGTCCTTAATCTAGCTGACATGAAGTCTCCTGGGGTGTCTGTTATAGGATTCTGAACTAGATCTCTCACAGAGATGCGATCAAGTACAAGTTCTCCTGCTGTTGGTGCACATTTTAGGGAATCAGCATGTGTGTAGACAATTCCCAGCATTCTCATATCATCTATTGCTAGGAGCAGACACACAATAGGTTGAACTCGACGGACTCGTGTCTTTTTTCAACCTGACTAACTATATATGTAACAAAGGGAGTTTGGAAGTAGATTTCAGTGGAACGGAGCAGTATCACCTCCACCAATCAGCTGGGCCTTTTGAGAAATTTGTGCCATTTTCTAACAGACATCACACGAAGAGTTGCCATTTACAACCCTCTACATGAGTGGCTTGGCTAGGACAGGCACCCTACCCTAGGAATACCAGCACATGCAGCAGTAGGACATGCATTGCATGGTCACGGGTTGGTTAATGTATTATAAATGGCCTCAGTCTTACTATTCCGTGCTGGATCCATCACCACCGAACCCACATTAGCCCCACTGCCTACTCTACTGGATCACTACTGCCCTCCGTCCTCTATTCTATAAGCTGGCATCTTCGCTATTCTCGTCGTGCCTAAGTGTTGTTTCCATATTAGGGTCAGCCTGGGTGATTATACCCTGAGCATATGACGTTAGAGACGTCAGACGTGATCTGCAGCTTAGGTTTTACATGTGGTACACATGAGCTATAAACTAGGCTCTATTTAAGCAGTACACAAATGGTGCTTTAGTCTGCAGCCCACATTCCTGACAGTCACACCCAATGCACAACATGGATGGCGCATGGCTCACATAGCCAACATTGGTGATCACATACACCTTCATGCCTCCAGCATGCTCACAGTTGGCTTCAGATGAGGCGGTCTTCCTGCACCTGTTGCTCACACACCCCGGTGAAACACATCCCTCCGGCCTGTCCGTTAGTGCCTTCGTGGCTGGAGATCCGCTGCTCCGAGGAGTGTGGGGCCCAGATTTCCAGGGGTAGATCTTTAGGCAAAGGCCGCTCCTTGAGATACATCTCCAGCTGGCGTAAAAGGTCTTTAGGCTTCCTCTTGGCAAATGTTTCAAGTTCTACAACAAGAAAGAACAGATGAAATTATAATGATGGTATTTTCTGTGCGTATGTTACCTGTTCCGCAATTGTGAACATGTGCTACACCATTTACATAATCTTGTCAGAACAACCTCTCATACCCCAATACTCACCTTTGCCTTCAATGAGGCCCTCAGGTAATACTCTTTTACAGCATCAAAAGAGCTAGCGTTCTATTTCTAGCAGGTTTGGGGTTTCTTCTGCATCCTCTCCCTGTCTCCATCAATATATCTCTTGCGTGTTCTCACCTCAAGAGGATGGGTATTACACTGCACAAGCACCAGCCAAATAATGCCTGTCTTCTGTTTTAACTGCTTAGCACACTGTCCACATGCACTGAGCTGCAGTAAGTGCCAGAAAGACCAGGTCCTTCACCCAATGGGGACAGGTGGGACTAAAACAGCTGGAAGCAGGCCTAACAAAATGCTAAAACAGGGCTTCTGAAACCTTCTCCAGTCTCCTTTTAATTTTATATTTTAATAGCGCTTTTCTCCCTGGGTACCCAAAGCGCTGATCAAATTGGTGTTGGGGCATATAGGTGGTATGGCAGCAATCTTGGGCATGCTAAGTAGAATATCATACTAGGGCCAATTTTAGACAGCAGCCAATTAACCTACTTCTTTGGAGTGGGGGGACAGGGATGGGACCACACAACCTAGAAGAATACATGCAAACACAGGGAGAACATTCAAACTCCATGCAGATTGTGACCTGACCAGGATTTGAACCGAGAACCCAAGTGCTATCCACTAAGCTGCCCTCTGTCCTGCACTCTGCTGTTAAAGAGCCCTGGGTATGGGCATTTATCTGTAGATACACAGTGCAGTTCTTTACCAACTATACAGACATGTACCACATTACAGAAACTACAGTGCCATAAAACTCAGTCACCTTTGAGGATGAAGCCGGAGTCACTGATGGTTTTGTTCTGTGTCTTCCACACATGGTAGAGGTGGTAGAATATAGCCACATAGAGATCATTCAGTACAGCAAAAACTTGTTGTCTCCGGTTACACTCCCTGTGAAAGCATATACACAAGTACAGAATGTGCCACACACACACAGATTTCTGTATAAATGGTTCCTTCATATTTTGCATTTTCAGTATGTATAGAATTTCAGTTATGATTGCAGCATTTAGATTAAAATACTTTTGGATGCCCCAATCACAATCATTAAAGCTTGCTCTTCCATATTGTTCTGATTGTGTTAAAGAGATTTACAGATTAGCCACTAGAGGGAGCCCTGTGTTTTCAGTCACATGAGCAGTGAATTGTTTTCAATGGGTCACTCAACTCATAGGGGATGATTTGTAAATCTTCCACACAGCCATATGCTGGCCAAATGCTATTTCGCCATCAGATGGAATTGAGGAGCATAGGAAATTCCTGTGCTGCTCGGCTTCATCTCGTGGCGCGAATGCTGTGTGAATGGTATTTGGCCAGTGTATTGGAGGGTGAATGATTTATGAATCATGCCCATAGACTTGCATTGTGAGGGTCAGCTTTACAAACAATATACAGAACTGCAAAGCAGAAAGTGGAACCTGTGTATGTAATAAACAAACATGGCTGCCCCTATGTACATATAGAGCTGTAAAATGAACAAAGAAACAAGGTTTATGAAAACATTAACACACAAACATGCACATGTATCAAAAAAAAGCTTTGAAAAAACTAAAACAGAAATGTCATCTTAGTGACAACTGAGGGTGTGCTGTATCTATACCAAGATAACGTTATAACGTTGCCCCCAATCAGAAGAATTTTCACTCTCTCCTTTCAGAATTTCTGCATGTAGAAAGGTCACCCAGAGAGACTTATAGCACATTCGTGATTCATAGACCAAAGACAATTCACTACATGGTCAAAAAGTATGTGCACCCCCCCCCCCTCCAAGTTACTAAGTTCATGTGTCTCCAGTGAAGAGATCTGTTAATGGTACAGAACATAAAAACATTTTAAATAAATTGGCACTCACAACCTTGTGGTAACAGTTTGGTGACGGCCCTATTCTGTTCCATCATGACTGTGCCCCAGTGCACAAAGCCACCTCCATCCTCCAAGACATGGTGTGGAGGACCTCATATAGCCGACACAAAGCCCTGATCCCAACTCTACTGAACACCAATTATGATCCAGGTTAGGGCTGCAACCAACTAATCAATTATGAGAATAATTGTCAACTATTCTCATTTTCGGGAGAGAGAGAGATATTTTTTTGAATGCAACTAATCGATTAATTGAAAAAATAATTGGGCAGCTAATCGATTATGAAAATAATCGTTAGCTGCAGCCCTAATCCAGGTCTTCTCATCCAACGTCAATACCTGACCTCACAAATACTCTCTGGCATAAAAGGCACGAATTCCCTCATATACTCTCATAAATCTTGTGGAAACCCATCACAGTAGAGTGGGGGCTGTTATAGATGCAGAGAAGGGGGGGGGGGGTTCCATATTTTTGCTCATGGTTTTGGAAAGGGATGTCCCAACAAGCTCATATAGGGGGGGGGGGACTCCATATTATTGCCCATGGTTTTGGAAAGGGATGTCCCAACAAGCTCATATAAGTGATGGTCAGGGGTTCACAAAAAATGTGGCCATATTATATATAAAACACCCATATACACTTCTCTGCTCACCTAGACACCCGCTCCTCTCTCAGGGTCTGGATACAAATCCTGGTGATGTTTATGGACATTATACAGAAGGGAAAATTCTGGAAGAGAGTTTCACAAATAAACAACATTTAGTACTAAAGCACATTGGGGGGGAACCTATTAAAACTGGAGCAGACAGAATCTGGAGCAGCTGTGCATGGCAACCAATCAGCTTTCATCTTCAGTTTGTTCGGTTACATATTAAAAATGAAAGATAGAAGCTGATTGGTTGCCATGCACAACGTCTTCAGATTCTGTCTGCTCCAGCTTTGATAAGTCCCCCTCATTATGTACTGGTATCGATTTTCTACATCATACAAACATGAGATGACAGGAGCTGAGTGCGGTGTTTTTTGACCAGATGATCTCATATCTACACTATTGGTTGACAGATCACAAAGGTAATAATGACTGGACTGTCTGGTTGCAAAGGGTTCTTTTGAGATAAGCCGCCATTAGAGGTATCTTCCTTTCCTGTGCATTCTCCATCTACCAAGTAGAAATAAACACAAAGGATTGGCGGAGCCAAGAATTTATATTTATACCTGAAAATGTTACCTACACTTTGATGGCCAGCTTAAAGTATCATTAAACCCTCGCATGTTTTTGCATATATATATATGGCTAGCAAGCAGCAGATATATGCAAAAAAAGAAGAAAAAAAAAAAGAACCAAATAGGTTTAAACTTACCTGTGTCTCCGCCGCGCGCTCCTGTTCGAAGATCTGAAGAGTCTTGGGCGGCCGCAAAGGATCATGGGGCGGGGCGCATGCGCAGTTCAGACCTTTGCCCGAGAGAAGAGGAGACACAAGGTAAGTCAATGCACGCAGCGTGCACCCGCACAGACTCTGTGGGACAGGAAGAGACAGGAGTCTGCGGTGGATCAGAGATCAGCGCTGGAGGGACTCCTGAAAACTACTGGAAAGAAGAAGATGATAGGATCAAGAGGCATCATTTAAGGTAAGTCCTTAAAGCAGCACTGGGGGGGTTGACTTATAGTCACTTTAAAGCCCAATGTCAGCCATCTTTGAATACAGTTTGAGGGCTCAGAAACTTCCTTTTGTTCTAAATGCTTTCTGAGATTCTGATTGTAAATCTCCCTACACTTCCTGTTCTGCCTGACACCTGGGCAGGAAATAAGGGGACATCTCCATTTTCAGTGGAAATAAACTAACAATGGTTTTAACTTACCCCCTCTACCAAAAAAATGATTTATCAAAATACTGTATATGGGAACATGGGAAGAGTCTCTGATTTTGTTATTTGTAGGAGGTAAAACACACATGTTATAAAACCGAACTGTCATACCAATGAACAGATGTAAAACATGAGGGAGACATCAGGACTTCCATCATGCTAGTAATTTAATCACTTCATATTGATAACTAACTGTGAATTGTGACTGTCGTATCTAAATAAATATGTGTAGGCCAATGGTGTGATCCGCCTCCCATCTTCACAATTCATCATTCCCAGTAAATGGGAACTGCGAGACCCACAACATGAGGTGGATTACACAAAAAAGTGATTGTTGTTGAATAAAATGAGCACACTGCCATTAACCTGCACAGATTTTTCCTTATTATCTCCCCAATAATAATGGCTAGGATGAAAGGAGCCCTATGTTATAGTCCATTAGTAGTAGTCTTATGCATTGTATAGCATCTGTGCATGGTAAGGACTATACAGACCTGTGTGTGGTGCTGTGACAGCCGGAAGATATCATGTGCCAGGGGCAGTGTTTTTGGCTCCATCACCATGTACAGTGGGTGCATCAGACCGAGCAGGCCTGCAGCTCTCAAGTCTGTTCCAGGATCCATACCTGCAGGGGTAGAATATGTGCACATTACAGACTGTTCATACACATAGTGATGACAAGGTCATATCGCTTCAGATTGCCCTATTTTATTAGCTACTCACCAATCTGAGCTCTACCATGCCAACTTCCCCATTCCATCTTGCCAATATCAAGTCAACTAATTTCATTTGAAAACCCTTAAAAAGTCCGTCCAGACCGCCTAAGTGAATGGATTCCCTGACGTATCAAATACTTTTATTTTGTGCCTAGCACATGTGCATTACGATATCTACGATTTTTCCCGAAGAAAAATCACAATCACATTAAAATGTAATTAGTTTAGATTAAAAAGAAAAGAGAAAAATTTGCCACCCTGTGCCTTTAGTTTTTCTCATCACTATGGTCAAATATGATTAGCGATTAGACCCCACTAACCATTATTAGAGGTGCACCGAAATGAAAATTTCAAAACCGAAACAAAATCGAAATTTAAAAAAACATGTCAGGCCGAAACCGAAAATGTTTTTTTATTTTAACGTTTTCAAATTTTTCAAATATTTTTTATAAACTTTTTAAATTTTTTATATTTATTTATAAATTATTTTTTTTTTACTTTACTGTTACTGGCTTCGGGGAAAAATTAGGGGTCCAAACAGACCCCTGATATTTCCCTTTTAACATAGAAAAAGAGATTGAGACACAGAGTCCTCAATCTCTTTTTCTGCAGCCCCTGTTATCAATGAACAGGAATCCTCTATACTGAGTGTTCCTGTTCATTCATAACATGAGGACAGAGTATGTTTACTATAACCACAATCATGAATGAACAGGAGGTGATGCAGATCACTTCCCATTCATTCATAATTGAGGATATAGTAACCATACTCTGTCCTCAATTATGTACAAACAGCGATCACTGATCACTGACTGCTTGTACCCCGCTCTCCATCCTGACGCGCTGTCACAGGAGGCTGAGCGAGCGGTGCGGGAGGAGAGCTCAGTCTCCCGTGACAGCTGTCTCTGCCCACACACCACTCTCATCTGATCTGTGATAGGAGGCTGTGCGGTGTGGGAGGAGAGATGCCAGCCGCTCACAGCGCTCTCCTCCCGCAGCGCTCTGTTGCCTGTCACAGTTTCTCTCCTCCCTGCTGGGACACAGAGCAGCGCCCAGTGGAGAGGAGAGAATACAAAGATGCACCGCTGTATCGGCCAGAAAATGGCTCTCTCGGCATTATGCCAAAGTGCCATTTTCGGCCGTTATGTTTCGGCGGCCGATATATCGGTGCATCCCTAACCATTATGAAATCCAACAAAAATTCTACTGGCTATCTCCGCACTGCAAGAGTTAACTGCTCGTTTGTGTCTAGGGACTATAAAAAAAAAGTTATACTCACCTAAATCCTCGGAACTGGCTTGTTCTTAGACTGCTCCTTCCAGCCGCGTTCCCCCTCCCTGCAGCGGTCTGAGTCTCCTCGATGCTGAGGAATGCACCATCGCTGCAGCGTAGGAGGAGGCACTGGAGGGAGTGCTGTAACAGCCGGCCTGCTCCCAGGTTCGGGTGAGAATAACTTATTTTAGTCCCTAGACACAATCAAGCAATTAACCCTTGTGGTGCGGAAGGTAGCCCCACTGTAAGGGTTAATAAAAACCTTTCCCTGAGTTTTGCTCGATTCTCATACGATCTCGGGATTTCCTACGATTCTCGTACAAGAATCGAGCAGTGTATGGGCACCTTTAGTGTATGTTTAGGCAGTAGACCGTTTGTGATCTCACCCCACATTTTCAGGTACTGCATATGCATAGGTTGCTTTTACAGTCCCTCCCATTGTACAGCTCTACAGAAGACGTTAGCACTATAAGACCAATAAAGAGAATAATTGCAGCTTCACCTTGGAATCCTAATTGCTCCCAGTGTGATCCGTATAAGGGGCAGTCAAAGCGGGCACCTGTCAGCTTCTTGTATATGGTCTGCAAGACTCTAACATGAACTTGCTGACTGCTGTCCAGTGGACCTGAGCAGACAAGAAACAAATATTGTAAAACATCTGCAACCAATTTATCACTTATTCAAACCATAATGAGCGCACTACTGCAATGCAAAACAACATACATCTAAAGTGTGCTGCAACACATGCATCTAAAGTGTGCTGCAACACAAGTGCAACACATTATAGCACACTGCAACACACTTGCATTAAAGCACACTGCAACACACAGATGCATGTGCTCTATGCGTTCCACTGCCCTGCGCTGGAAAAAAAAAATCATGCACAACCTATGTTTTGGTGCATAAACATCACATTCATTTTAAATAGACTGCCTATTGCAATGTGCTTTAATGTACATAAACATGTGCATTGCAGCGCACCCAGTTATAATATGAATTGGCCCTTAAACTTGGCTTTAACAGAATGGCTAATAATAACTGGCCCAACAATTTTTCACTAACTACAGCCATTATGCAAATAAAGTTGACTATCCCACAGGCCGGGCCTTATGAATATGAAATCAATGCTTGAAGGTGATTGCATTGGACCTAGTGCAATCGCGCAACATCCGCGCTAAAAAAGGGTCCTGCTGTAGCGACGTGCGACAGAGACGAGCACAGCTCCATTCACTTCCATTGGAGAGCGATATCGCGCAGATAATATGCGCGATAAATCGCTCAGTGTGAATGGGGCCTTAGTATCCCACAATGTGAATGCTATGAGAGCATCTTGGTGAACACCCGATATGTCTAAGAGAGACTGAATGGCAGGGCCATGAACTGGCAGTGCAAGGAACCTACTGCAAATCTCAAAAAAAGTTGGTGCATGCAAGTAAACATCTTTGATGTCCACAGGATCCTGAAAGTCTCCCTGATGACGGTAATGACAGATGTGGTGGGTTCCATCTGGAATTTGTGGACTGGAATGAAAACATTTAGGGCTTTGAGATTCAAGGCTATAGGTTTTGGGACAGTGAACAGGTTAGAGTAAAAGCCCTGAAACTGCTCCACAGCCAGGACTGGAGTTATGACACCTTGGTCCAGAAGACCTGAGACACCCTAATGGAGATCTGTGAGGAGACACAGGAAGGTTTGAAGGGAGAAAGTGAGGAAAGGGCAGGGGAAGCCACCTTCAACACCCAAGCATCTGGAATGCAAGATACCCAAGCGTCTGCAAAGGACACAGACGTTCCTCCACTCTGGAACGTGGGAGCACATTTTCATGGCAAGGGTGGCTTGTCTGAGGTCTTGGCAAACAAGGAATGCCAGACTTTGTAGGCGGACAAGCAGCCAAGCCTGGGGGCTCTCGCAGAAGATATCTTTGCAGTCCAGTATTATAGACAACGTGGCTTATGCATATGCACCGAAAGGAGACTCATGCGTGAAAGAAGTCAAAAAGTTTCCAGTAAGCCATCACAGCTGAAATTCAGTGCCCCAGTCATCTGATCCCGTTTTGGTCGCCAGTACTGAGAAGGGATGTCCTTGAACTGGAGAGAGTCCAGCAGAGGGCAACAAAACTAATTAGGGGAATGGAGGACCAGAGCTATGAGACGAGGCCTCTGACCTTAAACATGTTTACGCTGGAATTAAGGAGATTAAGGGGGATATGATTTTCATGTACAAGATGTTCAATGGTGACAGCAACATTGGCAACAAACTGTTTGAGATTAACTCCATTACAAAGACTAGAGGCCACCACCTAAAGTTGGTGGAGAAAAAATTCCAGCACAATGGGCGAAGAGGGTTCTTTACAGTAAGAGCGGTTAAGGTCTGGAACTCACTGCCATCGGCAGTGATTTCAGCCAAGAGTGTAGATTTGTTCAAGAAACGTTTGGACAATGTCTTGAGGGGCCGTAATATCCAGGGATACCAGTATCCCTAAGAATGAGATGATGCGTGGACCTATATGGGTTGGACTTGATGGACGTATGTCTTTATTCAACCCCAAATACTATGTAACTGTGTGTCCCACAGGTAGAGGGCCAATAGCAGCATTGCTTAGATTCCTTTTAGGGGATTCCCAGTCAGACATTATCATTATTATACACAATTTATATAGTGTCAACAGTTTCTGCAGCGCTTTACAATATAAGGAAGACATTACAATCACAATACAATTCAAGACAAGATGGTAAGGAGGGCCCTGCCCCTGAGGGGTTACAATCTAAAAGGGAGGGGCAAGTGCTACATGAGGAGGTAGCTGTGTGGAGATGAATTGTTTGAGAACGTGATGATTGAATGCTTAGGTTGAGGTGGGATAGGCTTCCCTGAAGAGATGAGTCTTAAGGGATCGCCTAAAGGCAGTCAGAGTGGGAGATAGACGGACAGGTTGGGGTAAAGAGTTCCAGAGGATGGGAGAGACTCTAGTGAAGTCCCGGAGGTGAGCCAAAGTACTATAGATGCAAGGCAGGTGGGTGCAAGGCTGGAGGTGGGTACAATTGGGTGCAAGGCGAGACTCGCCAATGAGAACAAAGCTAAGTCAAAATTCTCCCTACTCCTCTGGTAAATTAACCCTGATGTACCTAACTGGTTCAGTGAAGTGTTTTACATTCACAAATGTGGGACATTTTCCAACACTTGCGTATGTTCATCACCAGTTGTAAGATCTGAAAGCTGCTCCTGGGCAAACAAAGGTTTAACCCTTTAACCTATACTAACACATTACTTACACTGTGCTATTGCCAGCACCAAGTCTCTCTCTGCGTGAAGGTCTCTATTAAGCCGTGGTGGTCCGAACAGCAAATGAGTGATTGCAGAGAGGCCGGTGCGCCGGACAGTGGGCTGAATCCTTTTCTGGAGGAAGAAATTATTTATTCATTATTACATGGCTTTATACAATGCCAGCAATATATGCATGGCTTTACATGCTGTACATTCACATTGGTTCCTGCTAAGGATGTCCAGATACCAGTACTGATACTTGGGAGTTTCAAGAGAACTTCCAGGGTTGCAGCTGGGACCGGGCCCTGGTGCTCCACCACTGTCCTGAAATCACTAGTCTGTATTGTTTTAGAAAAACTGTCACATGACAATAAACAAAAATGTATCAGTACTTGTATCTGTGAGGACTTGGACAGGTATCAGTACTTGTATCTGTGAGGACTTGGACTAGTATCAGTACTTGTATCTGTGAAGACTTGGACCAGTATCAGTACTTGTATCTGTGAGGACTTGGACCAGTATCAGTACTTGTATCTGTGAGGACTTGGACTAGTATCAGTACTTGTATCTGTGAGGACTTGGACAAGTATCAGTACTGGTGTCTGTGAGGACTTGGACTAGTATCAGTACTTGTATCTGTGAGGACTTGAATTAGTACTTGTATCTGTGAGGACTTGGACAGGTATCAGTACTTGTATCTGTGAGGACTTGGACAGGTATCGGTACTTGTGTCTGTGAGGATTTGGATAAGTATCAGTACTTGTATCTGTGAGGACTTGGACTAGTATCAGTACTTGTATCTGTGAGGACTTGGACTAGTATCAGTACTTGTATCTGTGAGGACTTGGACAAGTATCAGTACTGGTGTCTGTGAGGACTTGGACTAGTATCAGTACTTGTATCTGTGAGGACTTGGACAAGTATCAGTACTTGTATCTGTGAGGACTTGGACTAGTATCAGTACTTGTATCTGTGAAGACTTGGACCAGTATCAGTACTTGTATCTGTGAGGACTTGGACAGGTATCAGTACTTGTATCTGTGAGGACTTGGACTAGTATCAGTACTTGTATCTGTGAGGACTTGGACAGGTATCAGTACTTGTATCTGTGAGGACTTGGACAGGTATCGGTACTTGTGTCTGTGAGGATTTGGATAAGTATCAGTACTTGTATCTGTGAGGACTTGGACTAGTATCAGTACTTGTATCTGTGAGGACTTGGACTAGTATCAGTACTTGTATCTGTGAGGACTTGGACTAGTATCAGTACTGGTGTCTGTGAGGACTTGGACAAGTATCAGTACTGGTGTCTGTGAGGACTTGGACAGGTATCAGTACTTGTATCTGTGAGGACTTGGACTAGTATCAGTACTCGTATCTGTGAGGACTTGGACAGGTATCAGTACTTGTATCTGTGAGGACTTGGACAGGTATCAGTACTTGTATCTGTGAGGACTTGGACAGGTATCAGTACTTGTATCTGTGAGGACTTGCATGTATCAGTACTTGAAAAAATGGTATCGGTGCACCTCTTATATAGTGATATATAAAACAAAATCCTACATTATAACAGAGATGTACAGATCCCAGGAGCTCCGTGTGCTCCTTACAAATGACAGCGGCCTCCTAACTTTTGAATTTTTCTCTAGTCCAGTCTTGGAGCTGGAAAAGTATCTGTACTTGTACCGAGTACAGTACTTGGTATCTGAACTTCCCTAGTTCCTGCCATCAAGCCCCCATCACACATGCATACATACAGGGCTACTTTAGACAGTAGCCAATTATCCTAGCCGCATGTGTTTGGGATGTAGGAGGAAACCCACGCTAACACCGGGAAAACATGCAAACTCTGTGCAGATAGCATCTTGGCTGAGATTCAGCGCTGCAAGGCATAAGTGCATGTATCACACTAACCCGCCGTGCTAAACAACAGGCCAGACACACAGCAGACACAATATTACAAAGAGGAAAGGAAAGGAACGTTTGCAGGTACGGTGCACTGGTTTCACTTTCTGTAATGATCATTCTTATACCTTGGACAGGGAAGTGAGAGGATGCACTTATAGGAAACATGGAGGCACAGTTCTCCTTTCACATTATAACTATTGCTAGAGAGTAAGAAAATAGCATTATGGGACAACCCAGTATAGGTTGCTTATTACTATATCACGTGACACCTACACTTACATGTTAAAGGAGAACTATGAGGTGAGTGCTTTCCACTCACCTCATAGTTCTAGCCGGCCTGTGACAATGAGACTGTCACAGGTCGGCTCAGTAGATCGGGAAGTGAGAGAACACATACCGCTGTTCGCTCACCTCTCGATCCTGTCACGGCTCTCTGCCGTGACAGGGGAGGGGCTGGATTCCCAGTTTCGATCCTCCAGCGCTGACTGGTGGATCGGATGGGGCGGGTACAGCTGGCTCAGCCTCTAGATAGGCAGAGCCAGCTGTCACTCACGCAGCCGCGGCTGCGGCGTCTCAGTATACCGCGAGGTGTAGCTTGCGGTATACTGAACTTAGGGTAACGGACTCTAGTTTGTGTCCTCCCGTTACCCTAAGGAGAACTATGGGGAAAAACACTGACCCCATAGTTCTCCTTTAAAGTTGAGCTCCAGGCAAACAAATGAACACAGATCTAATACATATAAGGGCAAAGGATTTGTCTTTCTGTCCATCCAGTCCTGAGATTCACACAACTGTGCCACAAAGCACAGCCCTGTCTGACGAGACAGGGTACATGATTTTTTTTTCTGCTGCATCACTTACAGGTCTTGTCCCTCCCCCGGCCTGTGATTGGGCAGTAAAAGGAGAAGCAGAGGACTGATGAGCTCATCTCTCTATCCGTCTTCTCTCTCCTACTATCAGCATGTCCCTTGTTAATATTTGAGCACTGCGACATACCCGATTGGCTCCTTGTGCTGCTTCTCCCTCCCCCGGTCTAAGCTCTGCTGTACAGGGATTGCAATAGCCTGATACCTAGTCAAGGTCAGGTACTTATACTTGTTGGGGGAAAAAAATGTTTATATTTTAAATATTTATTGATGCATTATTAAATACAGGGCTGCATTCATTTGCCTCTTTTATATCTGTCTGGAGTTCATCTGTATAAATCATACCTGTTAGTTAAACAGAGTAAGACTAAAGCCGACCACACACCTATAGATTATCTGGTCAGATGGGAAAGTGCAACAGATTCCTCCGTCTACGCTAAACTGTGTGTATGGGGGAATCTCCACCTGGGCCAAGCTTCAGTATCTTGCTAGTTGGCTCCGCTGGCTCTCAAAATACCTGAACAATCTGATTGGATGCCGGCATTCTGACAGCCAGCGGAGCCGACTAGCAAGATACTGAAGCTGGGCCCAGTGGGAGATTCCCCCATACACACAGTTTAGCGTAGATGGAGGAATCTGTTGCACTTTCCCATCTGACCATAGAAAGCCTGCAGATAATCTATAGGTGTATGGGCGGCTTTAGACTATTTCTTCCCTAGACCTTTATATAAGTCAATGTTTCGGTAGGTGCAGTATTAGTTATTGTTCTGTGGCTTGTAGCCCAAGAACATATGTGCAGGGAGAGGAATTAGGGCTGAAGTTTCTTCTGCTTATATTTATCCTTCCTCACTCATTAACATGCTAATAATATTTTCAGAGAGGAACTATGGGGGTTGTAAAAATTAACTCTTGCATTTGGGCTAACCCCCTCCCCCACAATGGTTAAATGCTCGTTTCTTTCTCGGGGCCAGAATACAGAAGATATACTCACCAGACCCTTCGTCCTGCGGCAGTGACCACTCACCACTTTGCTCTGGCAATAGAATGTCCCTTGGCGCCCTCACATCTAATGCACTTGCATTTGACATGAAGACGCCATAGGTCCTTACACCGCCAGAGCCCAGGGGAGAACATGCTGCAGGGACTGAGGATCGGGTGAGTATATCTTCTTTATTTTATACCTAGACCAGGGGTAGCAAACCTCCGGCCCTCCAGCTGTGGTGGAACTACAAATCCCATGAGACATTGCAAGATTCTCACAGACATGACTCCCGAAGAGAGATGCATCATGTGATTTGTAGTTTCACCACAGCTGGGGGGCCGGTAGTTTGCTACCCCTGCCCTAGACTAAAACAAGCAGTGCAGGGATAGTCCCAACGCAAGGGTTAATGTTTTACAATTTCTGGAGTTCCTCTTTAAATAAAACCTGTTTCATTACACAGTGACATCATCACTGGGTCCCTAGGCTTCTCTAAATGCCAGCAGATCATGTCTCAGTACTCCTCTCGAGAGCCCTGACCTCTGATGCAAGAAGTGGGCTGGCTCTTGGGAGAAGCTATGCAAATATCAAAATGTCTTGATGGGTGGATGTCAGTCGGGAGGAGTGCAGCAATTTCAGTACAGCAGAGGAGCCTGCGCAATACAGAAGGTAAGGCAGGAGTTCAGCTTTAATATCAATCAGGGGCTGTGGTGTATAGGACATGGGACGCTGCTATCACTGCATCATTTTGTTATCACACCAATACTAAAGCAAAGCACTGTAAAATCACATCAGATACATACCATGTACTCGGACAGGTCCGCTGTCTGGAAATATTGCAATGCTTCATTGAAGGAGATCAAAGGCGTTTGTCCAGGAAGGTCACTCAGAAGTCCTGCATACATGAATGTGAAATAGGTAAATGTCTCTATAATGTTGTGACAGATACAAGAGACATAAACAAGGTACTGATGGCATATGAACAGCTCAGTGTGATACCTGGAATTAGGGATGCACTGATATTGATACTGAGTTTTTGGGCAAGTACTCGTACTCTCCTGCTCCGATACCGGAACTTCCTGTCAGAGGGAGATGTCCCTCTGACTGACAGTGCCGAGGGAGCATGTAGCCGGCTTCTTTTCCAATCAGGAAGTCAGGCGGTGGGTTACGACCCGCCTCCTGGCTTCCTGATTGGGTAGGAAGTCAGCTTCATGTGTTGCTAAGCAGCGTGGCTTCCTAACCAATCAGGAAGCCGGACGTCACGTAATGACCTACCACCCTGATTGGTCAGGAAGCCAGGCTGCCTAGGAACAAGTGAAGCTGGCTTCCTCGCCAAGCCAGGAAGTGGATCATGACGTGCCGCCCGGCTTCCTGATTGGCTAGGAAGCCAGCTTCACGTGTTGTTAAGCAGCCTGGCTGATTGTTCAGGAAGCTGGGCAGCCTCTGAAGCCAGTGTTTATTCGCTAGAACACCGGCTTTACAGGCAATCAGGAAGCGGGGCGACTGGTCATGATCCACCGACCGACTTCCTGATAATCGGGGCCCAATGCACCGGTACTTGTACGTGTACGTGTTCAGTATCGGCGAGTACCGGAAAAAAAAAAATATCGCTACTCGTACTTGTTACCGAAAGACCAGTTTCGGTGCATTCCTACCTATGATAAACTGATATGATATCTGCTATCCACACATCAACTTCTCCATGCATTACCTATACTATACCAAAAGTCCCTCACCAGCATATAGAACCCCTCAATATTGGACAGATATCTTCTATTCCTAAACTGATTCTTATAATTAACCTCAAATTCAAAATTTGCATTTGTCCTATTGCATGTAATTCATCCTCAGCCAACAAACTCCATATCCCCATTAAATCCTTTGATGGTGACTTAGGGCACCACTCCTCCAGGACAAATGGTCTCCTTCTAACCTCCATTGCAATTCAAAGGGGCCCAGAAATTATTATTATATTACTGTATTGACCTCTGATATACAGCACCATATCATACGTGTACAATAATCTGACAATTCATAGAATAAAACTGGCCATACACTGTTCTATTTTTTCTGTTCCACCTGCAGGCTAAACAAAAAAAAATAGAGCAGATTCCTCCATCAACGTTACAAGTGTGTTGGCCGCTGTCAGAATACCTGAACAGAATTGGCAATCCACTGGTCTATGGATACCAGCTGAAGGGGTGCCAACAGTGGCACCCACTGTACACATTTTGTCCGGTTCCTCCAGAACCATCCAAAATTCACACAATGTATGGCCACCTTAAGAAGTAAGAAGAGACTTGTGGCACTGCTCGACTGTTACAAGATTAGGAAAGTCCCAAAGCTGCTGCAGAGGTTTGCAAATCTGTGGTCAGCTCTAGCTACTCCCATACTTCCGGCAATACATTTGCACCTACTATAACTTCACACATTAGTTCACACATACCTGATTTGTCACAGTACAGACCTAAAATAAACAAAATACACATCATTAAATGTCAAACATAAAGTATAAGTATGATGGCTGGGCTTTATTTACGATAAAGTACTTGTGGGCCGGTGCCTAAGACTGCAAGATAAGGAAGGGGGGGGAGCAGAAGCAAGGTGTGATATTTTATCTTATTCCTCCACTCCCTACATCGATGCGTAACATCATTTTATGTTGTATCGGCCTGTAAATAAATATACTGGATAAATATACTGGACATTCTGTATATATGACCAGATACTCAACAGGCAAAGCTGGAGTTCTAAGCAAGTCTGAGATGACAGGTCAAATCTTAGACAGCAGCTGTTGTGCTATACAGGCCACTGATTGAGTTATAGAAGGAGTCATCCCCTTTCTCCTCTACTAGCAAAGACTACACATCTTAACCAGTGTATTAACACTACCAGAAACCATAAGGGTAGTGCTTGGCTCTCCGATTAGAAAGCCCAGTATGCTTTGGCAACACACTGTCAAGTATACAACCAGCAATGTAGTGTGCATAGAACCTTTAATGTAGTGTGTGTGGAGGAGAGAGGAGAGAGGAGAGAGGAGAGAGGAGAGAGAGAGGGGAGACATGGGAGAGGAAGGAGAGAAGGGGGGAGAGGAGGGAGAGAGAGGAAGGAGAGAGATAGAGGGGGGTGGAGAGAGAGAGAGAGGGGGTGGAGAGAGAGAGAGAGGGGGTGGAGAGAGAGAGAGAGGGGGTGGAGAGAGAGAGAGAGGGGGTGGAGAGAGAGAGAGAGGGGGTGGAGAGAGAGAGAGAGGGGGTGGAGAGAGAGAGAGAGGGGGTGGAGAGAGAGAGAGAGGGGGTGGAGAGAGAGAGAGAGGGGGTGGAGAGAGAGAGAGAGGGGGTGGAGAGAGAGAGAGAGGGGGTGGAGAGAGAGAGAGAGGGGGTGGAGAGAGAGAGAGAGGGGGTGGAGAGAGAGAGAGAGGGGGTGGAGAGAGAGAGAGAGGGGGTGGAGAGAGAGAGAGAGGGGGTGGAGAGAGAGAGAGAGGGGGTGGAGAGAGAGGGGGTGGAGAGAGAGGGGGTGGAGAGAGAGAGAGCAACTGAATCCAAAACTTTTTTAGCTTTGTATAGAGTGGAGAGGGATTAGAACTCCTGTCAGGTTTTTATTGCGGTCTGTGTCCCCGTTAGGGAGATTCACCCTCTGGCTCACATGACCGGCGACTCACCTGTCTGTATACTTTCAAGTGCGTCCCATTCCTGTTCCGCTTTTAGCAATTCATCGTTTTCTGTGGACAGAAGAATATGCAATTCTTAATTTTATCTTATGCTTCCAGGCTTTATAAAAGAAATATACGCGTTTCCAAGTTGATAGTGTAAATAATTATATTGTATACCTACAATGAGTAGGAGATGCAGGCTTTTTCTCAGTTAGTGGTGAAACAAACCTGACACACTATGGTGAGGAGAATAATCATAATAAACAAATTAACACTCCAGAGTAAAATTACCGCTGGAGACGGGGTGCCATCAAACCCAGACCCGTTGTGGCCGGACAGAAAATGAGAAGAGAGCCCTGCAGCATTCATGAGGCAGGTAAGGGAGTTGCTGTGATAGGACAATAGGTGAGGAGGAAGGCCTGTGGCAATGTGTGAGATAGGTAAGGTTGTCGCGACAACGGGTGAGGTGAGAGGCCTGCAGCAATGTATGAGACAGGTGAGGGGAGACGTGTGGCAATGTACAAGACAGGTGAGGGGAGACGTGTGGCAAGGTGTGAGACAGGTGAGGAGAGAGGCCTGTGGCAATGTATGAGACAAATGAGGGGAGACGTGTGGCAAGGTGTGAGACAGGTGAGGAGCGAGGCCTGTGGCAATGTATGAGACAAATGAGGGGAGACGTGTGGCAAGGTGTGAGACAGGTGAGGAGCGAGGCCTGTGGCAATGTATGAGACAAATGAGGGGAGACGTGTGGCAAGGTGTGAGACAGGTGAGGAGCGAGGCCTGTGGCAATGTATGAGACAAATGAGGGGAGACGTGTGGCAAGGTGTGAGACAGGTGAGGAGCGAGGCCTGTGGCAATGTATGAGACAAATGAGGGGAGACGTGTGGCAAGGTGTGAGACAGGTGAGGAGCGAGGCCTGTGGCAATGTATGAGACAAATGAGGGGAGACGTGTGGCAAGGTGTGAGACAGGTGAGGAGCGAGGCCTGTGGCAATGTATGAGACAAATGAGGGGAGACGTGTGGCAAGGTGTGAGACAGGTGAGGAGCGAGGCCTGTGGCAATGTATGAGACAAATGAGGGGAGACGTGTGGCAAGGTGTGAGACAGGTGAGGAGCGAGGCCTGTGGCAATGTATGAGACAAATGAGGGGAGACGTGTGGCAAGGTGTGAGACAGGTGAGGAGCGAGGCCTGTGGCAATGTATGAGACAAATGAGGGGAGACGTGTGGCAAGGTGTGAGACAGGTGAGGAGCGAGGCCTGTGGCAATGTATGAGACAAATGAGGGGAGACGTGTGGCAAGGTGTGAGACAGGTGAGGAGCGAGGCCTGTGGCAATGTATGAGACAAATGAGGGGAGACGTGTGGCAAGGTGTGAGACAGGTGAGGAGCGAGGCCTGTGGCAATGTATGAGACAAATGAGGGGAGACGTGTGGCAAGGTGTGAGACAGGTGAGGAGCGAGGCCTGTGGCAATGTATGAGACAAATGAGGGGAGACGTGTGGCAAGGTGTGAGACAGGTGAGGAGCGAGGCCTGTGGCAATGTATGAGACAAATGAGGGGAGACGTGTGGCAAGGTGTGAGACAGGTGAGGAGCGAGGCCTGTGGCAATGTATGAGACAAATGAGGGGAGACGTGTGGCAAGGTGTGAGACAGGTGAGGAGCGAGGCCTGTGGCAATGTATGAGACAAATGAGGGGAGACGTGTGGCAAGGTGTGAGACAGGTGAGGAGCGAGGCCTGTGGCAATGTATGAGACAAATGAGGGGAGACGTGTGGCAAGGTGTGAGACAGGTGAGGAGCGAGGCCTGTGGCAATGTATGAGACAAATGAGGGGAGACGTGTGGCAAGGTGTGAGACAGGTGAGGAGCGAGGCCTGTGGCAATGTATGAGACAAATGAGGGGAGACGTGTGGCAATGTATGAGCCAGGTGAGGAGGGAGACGTATGGCAATGTGTGAGACTGGGGAGGAGAGAGGCCTGTGGCACTGTACGAGACAGGTGAGGGGAGAGGCCTGTGGCAATGTACGAGACAGGTGAGGGGGAGACATGTGGAATTGAATGAGACAGGTGAGGGGGAGACGTGTGGAATTGAATGAGACAGGTGAGGGGGAGATGTGTGGCAATGTATGAGACAGATATTGGTGTTGTTGAGCCAGGACAAGTGAAGGCAGAGGCCTGTGACAATGAGTGAGATAGGTCAAGGTGTTGTTGTGGGAAGGACAGGTGAGGGGAAAGGTATGCAACCATGGTCACAGCTTGGTGAAGTTTGATAGTCATTGGAAGATGAACTCAGATATGTGACTATATAAATATATGAAGCTGGAATAATGGTATGTTATTTACATGTGTATAGTATCCTGTTTGTGAGTGTTTATTCATAAATGTTTTCAATGTTCTCCGCTACATTGCGGATAGTCAGGATTTTTCGAGATTTGTGATTTGCATGCGGTTTATCGGCAGAGACAATCATATGTAGCTGTAACCAGCATGTCTTCCAGCCTTAAGGCTCTTGAGGATTGGCTCTGATGAGCGTGCATGGATTGTGCAGGTGTATCGGTCATATTACTGTATTTAATTACAATTCAATGTTTTGGTGGACGAGCAAAGCAAATATTCGTTTGAAAATGGTATTAGTCAAAAATATTATCGTCCGCCATTTTGCTTAGCACTGTGCAGCCGAAGCATTCAGTGAAGCTGCTGCAGAACAGCTACTCAGCGCTTGGCTAAGGAACTAAACGCGCCTCAGCACTCCAGCTGTTGTAGAACTTTAAATCCCATGAGGCATTGCAGGACTCTTGCCAGCCGCAGAGACTTGATAGGTGTTGTAATCTCACCACAGCTGGAGTACCTACTGATGGTGTAGGTAAAGTCGACTTTCTGACTCTACAAAAAGGCTTCCATCTTCCTTCACCTTATCTTAGACCATTGGCGGCTCTCTGTGGTTGAGATGAGGTGGAGATAATCTTGTAATTCCACAACTTCCACAGATGTCAAAAATAGAGATCTATACACAATTTTTTAAACTTTTTTAAGTTCGGTGATGCATGCATCGAAGACTCGATCACCCCTGTAAACTAAAGGCGTAGTGCAGAAAAAGCGGAAAGTGCCGTGAGCTATTGACAGTGAATCACACTGGGGTCCCACACCCAAGTGATTTTCTGGCACATCCTGGGACGCCACCCCCAGGGGGCACAGCACCACGGGCCTCTGCACCTCCTGAACCCCCTAGCCAGACGCGAGGGGGTTCAGGAGGCATTAGTGCCAAGGAAGCTCCCCCCTCTTCCTACCTCTAAAAACTGATAAGAACAGATACTACACTTGATCTTAGCCAAAAGGCTATATACACATACTGTATGTACACATATATAAAGATATACACGGTATATGTTATGCTTAATTTTGAACATACCCGGCTCTATGTCCAGCTCCTCTCCTTTGCTCACCAGAGACTGCAACACACTGTTCTCCTTTACTGCAGAAATCTGCAAAGAAAATGTCGGAAATGACCTTCAAATTGTGAACCTATGATTAAAATTCATAATAACCCAACGATAACTAGACCATCACATCATGTCCGAGTTATAAAGAACGTCTTCTGTACCATGAAAAGAAGAAAAAAAATGATCTTGAGATCCCTCAGGTGACCTAAAGCCTATGCAGTGAAGATCACATGGTCTCCGACAACACTGGGCATTTCATGTCATTAAAGACAGCAGAGAGGTTTTTTTTTCATTCAGATCCCCGACTGGCACACTTGTACTGAGATAAGAGGATCAGAAAGGAATAGCGCTGCGCAATACTAAGCAGGATGAAGCACCAGCATAAAAAACAAATATGGCTGCCCCACATGCAAACAATGTTTTAATATATTTACATTTACTGAGAAGATTTACATGAAAGCAGACCTAGCATCTGATATTCATGGTTACAAAATCAGGAGCAACAATTATTAATTTATAAAAGTTATACATCGGACGGATGCTGTGTGCATGGTACTAGCGCCCAAAGGTAGGAATTTTCTATACTCATCAGAGCCATCTGGGGGCGCTAGTGCCATGTGAATGTATTCCGCTGAGCCATACACCGGGTGGAACTTTTATAAATGAACCTCTTAGTCTAGGGCTACAACCAACTAATCGATTAATCGATAATGAGAATAGTTGTCAACTATTCTCATTATCGATTAGTTGGTTGGGGGTGGGAGGGGAGAGAGATATTTTTTTCGATTAGTTGCATTAAAAACAATCGGGCAACTAATTGATTATAAAAATAATCGTTAGCTGCAGCCCTATCTTAGTCTCTTGTTACCAATAAAACAGAACACAGTGTGCTCCCTGACAATATCTGCATCTTCCTTTCCCACCAGAACATGGATGGCGCCATCTTTGTTCAGGGATCACCCACAGTAAGCATGTGATTCCTGGACTGAGATGCTGGCGCAGGGATGACACAATCATGTAAATCCTGGTCCCTGTGGCCTTCATGTTCTTGGCGGTGTGTATACATGTAAGACGATGCAGCACCTGCTGCCTTTCACTCAGGAAGTATAAAAAGCCATCACATTCCCACAGCTCACTTCCTCTTCTACATCTACATCAAGTTGGTCATACGCAGACCAAATTCTATCTGTTTCCTGCTCACTCTGCATAAATGCAATGCATGGGTGGCCCTGCCAGCATCACTCGCCTTGACAAAAGTCGATTTTTCAACTGACTTTTGTCAAACAAGCTGTGTGGAAAATTGTCGGTGAACTGCAAGCTGCAGTCACGATTTGGGTATTGTAGAAAGCGGCGGGTGCTGGTTGTCAGAATACAATAGCTGGCAAAGCAGATTCCTCCACCCATATTGTTTAGCGTTGAAGCGCCAGTCGGGCATGAAGGAGGCCGGGACCCAGAAGTGCCATTCAGGTGGCGGAGGAGGCACCAGTGGTCCTGTGGTGAAGGTGGCCAGGTCCAGCAACGGGTGGCAGATGCAGGTAAGAGGATCACACTGCTGGTAAAGGGACCCTGCAGAGCCCTACATAGACCCCACCTGAGATCCTGCAGAGTCCACCACAGATCCTGCACAGCTCCCGCGAGACCCTGCAGACCGCAGGGTCCCAGGGGGGCTTTGCAGGATCTGTGGCGGGCTCTCCAGGTTCTATGGTGGGCTCTGTGGGGTCTATGGTGGGCGCCACAGGGTCTCAGGGGGGGCTGTGCAAGATCTGAGGTGAGCTCTGCAGGGTCTCAGGGTGGCTTTGCAGGATCTGTGGTGGGCTCTGTGGGGTCTATGGTGGGCTCCGCAGGGTCTCAGGGGGGCTGTGCAGGATCTGTGGTGGGCTTTGCAGCCTGCAGAGCCCACCACAGACACTGCACAGTCCCCCTGAGACCCTACACAGCCCACCTGAGACTCCGCACAGCCCACCTGAGACCCTGCACAGCCCACCTGAGACTCTGCACAGCCCACCTGAGACCCTGCACAGCCCACTTGAGACCCCAGCTTTCCTGCTACACTAAGGGCTTGTTCACACGATGTCTGGACCAGATCTGGAGCAGATCTGCAGACGCGGTGCTATGCGTTTGACACGTTTTGCGTTTCCGGACCGGACAAAATGTGACATGCAGTATTTTCTCTGTCCGGACCGGAATGGACTGCGCTCGTGAGAACTGTAGCCCATAAAACACATAGGGATACATTGGGATGAATTTTGGGTGCATGAGCGCACGGATCTGATCCGGACAGAATCCGGACGTCGTGTGAACAAGCCCTAATAGCGGAACATGTCAAAAGCTGGATACAGAGTGTGCGACTGACAGGTTATGCAAAAAGTGGAAAACAGAAAGGGGTGGGGCAAATCTAGTGTGGGGAGGGGTGCTGGAATTTCGTCTTGCCTAGGACAGCCCAAAACCAAAATACGCCACTGTGTGGCCAGCTTAAGCCCTATGATCAGGCAGTGTAAAAATACAATCCTAGCCTTACATAGACACCCTTCCCCCTTGCCGAATCATACCCTGTAACCTTCCAATACACTACAATAAATACAATAGTCCCTGGGGGGGATAGAAGACTTATGGAATCTTTCGTGGTCCTGCAGCAGACTGATGGCTTCATTCTCCCAGCATGCTCCTTTCTTTTTGTATAAAAGAATGTATAATTCTCTCTAAGACTTGTAACGTTACCAACAGATTTGCGGCAAAGCGGACCTTTCCACTCCAAAATCAAATTCTACCAATGCCTCCCTCTATGTATGATGATGAATAATAACATAGACACGTCAGGTGTAATATGCTGTGATTGTGAAATACTTCCACTTGCAGAACATTCACTTCCTACTCTGAAAGTGCAAATGACTTCAGTTTGCCAACACAATGCACACTGGGATTGTATAGTCATCAGCAGAGCATTGCTGGGAAATCCCAGGAGATCTCAGGGGAAGGCATTTTCCTCCCCTGAGATGATGTGCATGGTCACATGTCCTAGTCACATGTGCCAGAAAGCCAGGAAGTAATAGGAGAGCTAGTAATCTGCCCTTAGTATACATGGCCACTGACAGAGGACTGGGGAAGAAAAGAGAAATAAGGAATGCAAAAAATACAAAGCCGGAAATGATCTAGAAGTATGTGTTTTGTAGATTGTCGTCACTAAACATTTCTAAAGGTGTTTTTGTTATTCTTTTAAAGATCTGGGGAAAGGTCCGCTTTAAGCTATTTCAATTGCCGATGAAATCTCTTACAATGGATGCTGCTCCTTGATGTATAAAAGTTTTAGTTTCCTGCAGAATCCGCTGGTCCCCTGAGCTCTAGCCCTGATATCCTGTTTGGCTCCTTTCCCTCGCAGGGTCCTTTGGAGCCACCCCTGTGTGTGTTAGTAAGTGGTGTTTCCGAAAACACACAGACAAAAGCAAGGCAATCTATTCCCCAGCTCCCCTGTCCTCCCCCCTTTCAGCCTAGTAGATGGACAGCTGCTGGAGACTGCTCTATCTCTTGTGCTGGACAGGAAGTTCAGGGAAGCTGAGATGAGAGAGTTGGAGCTGTTTAGAAATATGATGACTATAAATGTGTGGGCAAAAATGTAACAAAATACTTTGCTGGGTGATGTATATTTGTTTGATCCAGATTCATTACTGAAAAAAAAGTTTGAGCATGAAATACTCCTTTAGGTCACGGTCTGTCATGGACGGCCAGCAAAGCCGGGTAGGTGGCAGAATAAAATCTCACAATCGTTCAACTAACTAGTGGAATTAGTTGATGGTCCACAAGAGACAGTCAGGGCCCAGGATCCAGAGTCCTCCCGAGTCATATAGGAGCTGACCTAAAGACATTAGCACCATAAGATGCCAGTAATGTTCATTTCTACATGTTGGTGGACATAACTGGTTCCCTTTAAATCAGGAAATACAGACTGCAGGAGTATAAAATATGACCCCGTGTACATGTCCTGGAGATTGTATTTGTTTAAAAGCTCAGCTTGGGGCAATAACTGGAGCAGACAGAATCTGGAGCAGCTGTGCATGGCAACTAATCAGCTTCTCTCTTTCATTTTGAAATCTTAACTGACCAAACTGAAGAGAGAAGCTGATTGGTTGCCATGCACAGCTGCTCCAGATTTTGTCAGCTCCTATTTTGATAAATTCCCCCCAGAATGTTTTATTTCCCGCCCTACATTTCATCCATGTTGCATGTTCATCAAGCGTATAAATGACCATCATGGCCTGCATTGCACTCAGTGCTGCGCTGAGCATTATAAGGAGACCGAGAACATTGGATGCTGCCTTTCACAGGCCAGCTACCCGTCACCACACACTGCTACTGAAAGCAGCCAAGCTACGTGCTGTGAAAGGTGAAACTGCCGAACATCAATGATGCTCACAATCCGCCTACTGGGACTGACAAGCACCTGTAGCCTGCACCCCCCTCCCTCCTTCAAGTGAGCATCTGATATACAGGCTGATAGGGATATGTGTAGAGTTCGGGTAGGCAACCTCATCACCCCAGCTTTGGTGAAACCACAGATCCCATGAGGGACATCAGTCACTGCCCTCGAGGGGCTTAACGTCTAAGGTCCCTATCTCTCATGCATACAGTATATACATGGGCCGATTAATACAGGAGCCAATTAACCTTCCAGCATGTCTTTGGAGTGTGGAAGGAAACCGGAGTACCTGGTGGGAACCCACGCAAGCACAGGGAGAACAAGCAAACACCATGTGGATAAGTGTCCTGACCAGGATTCCAACCGGGGACCCCCTAGTACTGCAGAAGTGCCAAAACGGATCGTGACAATATAACATTACAGGAGGACCGGGATAAAATAGGGGGAGGGGCATTAATGTGGCAGATGAGGTTTAATGTCAATAAATGCAAAGTAATGCACTTTGGAAATAAAAATAAACAAATGGGTTATACAATTATGGGTATGCCGCTGGGGAAGTCAGAAATAGAAAAAGATTTGGGGGTCATTGTAGACCACAAACTGAATGGTAGCTTGCAGTGCCAGGCTGCGGTAAACAAAGCTAGCAGGGTCTTGTCCTGTACTAAGCAGGGGATGTATTGCAGGGACAAGTCTATAATTGGGCCTCTATATAGATCGTTGGTTCGGCCACATCTGGAGTACGCGGTCCAGTTTTGGTCGCCGGTACTGAGAAGGGATGTCCTTGAACTGGAGAGCGGAGGGCAACAAAACTAATTAGGGGAATGGAGGACCAGAGCTATGAGACGAGGCCTCTGACCTTAAACATGTTCACGCTGGAAGTAAGGAGATTAAGGGGGATATGATTCTCATGTACAAGATGTTCAATGGTGGTAGCAACATTGGCAACAAACTCTTTAAGATTAACTCCATTACAAAGACTAGAGGCCACCACCTAAAGTTGGTGGAAAAAAAATTCCAGCACAATGGGCGAAGAGGGTTCTTTACAGTAAGAGCGGTTAAGGTCTGGAACTCACTGCCATCGGCAGTGATTTCAGCCAGGAGTGTAGAATTGTTCAAGAAACGTTTGGACAATGTCTTGAGGGGCCGTAATATCCAGGGATACCAGTATCCCTAAGAATGAGATGATGCGTGGACCTATATGGGTTGGACTTGATGGACGTATGTCTTTATTCAACCCCAAATACTATGTAACTGAGCCACTGTGCTGCCTGATTTCTGCAGTGCTTTATATATTACATTGACATCAATCACTTCCCCACAGGAGCTTACACTGTAAGGCCGCCATCTCACAAGGACACACATACTAGGCCTTTGGGATGTGTAATGAAACCCACACAAGCATATGGAGGACATTCAAACTCCAGGATAGTGTCCTGGTCAGAAGTTACCGACATTTTTGCCTAAGGATCTATTCCAGGGGTCGGAAAACTCCGGCCCTCCAGCTGTGGTGCAACTACAAATCTCATTAGGCATTGCAAGACAACAAGTGAGCATCTGATTTACAGCCTGATGCGGAAATCACGTAGAGCAGGCGTAGGCAACCTCGGCCCCCCAGCTGTGGTGAAACTACAGATCCCATGAGGCACTGCAAGACTCTGACAGCCACAGGCATGATTCCCAGAGGCAGATGAATGAGGTGATTTGTAGTTTCACCACAGTTAGAGGGCTGGAGTTTGCCTACCCCTGATCTAGACTTTTGGGACACCCTGTATATCATTAAAAAAATGAGATTCACTTTAATATCACATATTAGGTAAGCGTGTCAGATATCACCCCATCACTACCATCACTCACCGGCATGGACTTCATCGACGGCAGAAAGTTGCTGTGAGTTTGGTGAAGGTCGGAGTTGACAACCAAGCCGTTCATTACCTAAAAAGAAAACATAAAACCCGTAAACATGTGGATGCTGTACCCACACATGTCAGAGCTCGGACACCAGGCAGTGCACATGATCTGCTGGCAGCGGGTTATGGGGTCACATGCTGCCCAGATGGGAGTGGAGAGCCAGGAGGCGGTCTTCTCCTAATCATTCCAGCCAGGGCACAGAGGAACGGCCGGCCAGGACCGCGCACACTACAATAACCCCGAAATGTTCACCGTGATCCCTATAACAAAACCTTACCACCTATGATGTCCCCACTTCTCAACACCAAACACAACCAAGGTGATGAGCAAAGTATGGAG